GTAAACTGAGTAATGCACTTTTGATTTCAATTTATTTATTTTAGGTGGAATGACAAGTTACTCTAACGGCAAAAAAATACCACAGAATCAGAACTCTTTAGTGTGCAGTGTATAGAGGGTTCTTAAAGGTTTTCTATATATATAATCCTATGTAAAACCTTGATCAACCATTTCGGAACCACCTTACCCATGGGGGATCATGATTTGAACAAAATTGATTTTTTAGTTAGTTTAATTGTTTGTTGTTTAAAGTTCCTCTCTCGAATTTTCACTCATATGGAGACGCCAACACTTACGGGGGGGGGGGGGGGCTGCAATTTAGACCTTTATTCGGCACTCAGGGCCATTGAGCAGTGAGGAATCTTTTTCATGCCAGCACCTACAAAACTGAACGTACACTATTTATTGAAGCTTTCACATAAGTATCATCTCTTCTGACCAATTGTCGATAATATTCTTGGGAAGAAGATTTTGAAAGAATTTTTCCAATTGTCTTATGTATGAAAAAAAATTGATCACCTTGTGTCCCCCTAGGTAACATGATCTGAATAAAACTGAAGCTTTCACATAAGTTTAAACTTTTCTGACACAGTGGTTCTGGAGAAGATTTTTAAAAGATGCACTGAATTTTTACTAATTCTTAACTACTTCCCTTGAAAGAGAGCATGGCCCTTCATTTGAACAAACCTGAATCCCCCTTATCCACGAATGCTTTGTGGCAAGTTTGTTAAAAACTGGCCCAGCAGTTCTTGAGAAGTTGAAAATGTGAAATGTTTACAGACGGACGACAGACAAAATGTGATGAGAAAAGCTAATAATGTCAACCTCAACACCAATTATATATCGGCACATGTATAAGAATAACGCAAAAATTTCCAGATAATCATTACTACTGAACAAAAAATTAACATTCAATCTCAAAGTATATATAGCGAGAAAAAAGAATGGGCTGATTTATCATATATCTCAGGAATTACGGTATCTTGACATATCATAGTGATGTACACCAATCCTGGACAGAATTTTCTGAGCAAAACCTTTTCTCCCTACAGTATTGCGAGTTGTGCTAAATAATATTATAAATACAATTTATTTACCCATTTATCTGCCATACACTTTGTCTATTCTTCTGTCTGTCCGTCTGTCTCTCTCTGTGTCAATCTCTCTTTCTCTTTCTCTCTGTCTCTTCACGACCTAAGTAAATATTCTTCAACACAATATATCCGCGACAAAATGTGCAAATGTTCAAAGTACATATTGTCGCCGACGACATGCCGTTGCGTGACTGTACTTTTTGTCGTCCATTATGCAGGAGGAAAAAAGACTCGTCGCCGGCGACAATATGTACCGATGGACGACAATATGTGCAGGAGGGTAGGTACATATTAGAGAGGTTGAGATTTCATACGTGTACGGGTACGTCTAGTAGGGGAATTCCCTAAATTTCTTGCGTATTACGTACGTCATCAGTTTTGGTGCTGATAAGTTTTCTACACGTTCCTACAACTTGTAAAAAGGCTACGAAAGCCTATTAGGATCAAACTACGGTAAAAAAAAAAAAAATTTAAAGGCGTTATAACGCCTTTTCAGTTATAACGCGAAAAAGGGCGTTATTACGCCTTTCCAAAAGGCGTTATTACGCCTTTCTAAAAGGCGTTATTACGCCTTTCTAAAAGGCGTTATTACGCCTTTCTAAAAGGCGTTATTACGCCTTTTTGAAAGGCATTAATACGCCTTTCAAAAAGGCGTTATTATGCCTTTTGAAGGGCCAATTTTATGTCTTTGACAGGCCCGTGCTTTTAAAGTGGGGGGGGGGGGGGTCCCATAAAATTGACAAGCAAACAAAAAAAAAACAAGACCCCCCCCCCCGAAAAAATAAACTGCCTAAACTTGAGGGGAAACTTTTTCTAATTTTTCGGTAAAACTTTTTTTAAATGCAATGACTTGCCCGAGTTTAACCATACTGCAACAAAATGTTAAGGGACCAAGCAATCAATTAATGATTTTTTATATTTAAACTATAGCAAGACTATTCTCCCAAAAAGTGGGGTGGGGACCCCCCCCCCCCCCTCTCACATTCGTACTACCGGCCTGTTTGAAAAGGAGTTGTATCCAAAAATGGAAAGGCGTTATTTTAAAATAGTAAATATATATGAAATATTGAACCAAAGCCATCTTTATTTATGCAATATTTAGATTATAGTTTTAATATTATAAATTATATTATAAATTATAGTATTTTCTATATTCCTGCACATCTCGCAGACAGTCGTTTGCATTTTGCATGCATATTAAGAGAAGTCAACACTCTACTTTTGAAAATCCAGGATATAGGCAGAACCAGCTTTGGGCTTTGCTAGCCACGTATTAAAAATTCATGTCAAATTTGAAATATTTTTCTCTCCTCTTGGTAAAAAACAGGCAAAGTATTTGCATAGGTATAATGAGCAATTAGCCTTCAACAAAATTTCTGAAATCCATACACTTTGGTAGAAGCGTCTGGCATCAGAGAAGGACTAAGTTGGTTTAACACTGAAAATATTTTACACATTTAAAAATCTTTTTTCCTGGAAATCTAATTATAATCAGCCCCCAGGGTGGGCTAAGTAAGTCATGTATTGAAAAAAAGAGGCGTAATAACGCCTTTTTAAAAGGCGTAATAACGCCTTTTGGAAAGGCGTAATAAAACCTTTTGGAAAGGCGTAATAATACCTTTTGGAAAGGCGTAATAACGCCTTTTAGAAAGGCGTAATAATGCCTTTTTGAAAGGCGTAATAACGCCTTTTAGAAAGGCGTAATAACGCCTTTTAGAAAGGCGTTATAACGCCTTTTGGAAAGGCGTTATAACGCCTTTTGGAAAGGCGTAATAACGCCTTTTGGAAAGGCGTAATAACGCCTTTTAGAAAGGCGTAATAACGCCTTTTTTCGCGTTATAACGCCTTTTAGAAAGGCGTAATTACGCCTTTTAGAAAGGCGTTATAATGCCTTTTAGAAAGGCGTAATAACGCCTTTTGGAAAGGCGTAATAACGCCTTTTGGAAAGGCGTAATTACGCCTTTATTTGCGTTATTACGCCTTTTTTCGCGTTATAACGCCTTTTGAAAAGGTGTTATAACGCCTTTTAATTTTTTTTTTACCGTCGTTTGATCCTAATAGGCTTTCGTAAAAGGCATCTACACGTAGGTGTAAACGTGTAGCTTTCTCAATAAAATCTAGTCAATTTATGTGTGAAACTGTTATTGTTGTTAATTATTTAGGATGTTAAGTTTCATGAACACTTATTTTAACCATGTTTTGTTCACTAACTAAAGTCAAACTGATGTCACAAAACTACTAAATAGTTGAAATAGAGACGTCGATTACAGTCACGTTACACGTTCATGTTTCACGTCATTAAATCTCAACAGGCAAATCACAAAAAAACGTGTACGTGTACGTCAAAGTTTGTGCACACGTACACGTACGCGTACAAGTTTAAAATTTCAACCTCTCTATTGTCGCCGACGACAATATGTACAGAACGACAATATGTACCATCACACACGTATCCAATTAGGAAACAAAAATGAACATCTACAATGATGGAGTTTTTCATCTTATTTCCATAGCAACACTTTATTCGTACATTACCCTAAATAAGCAATAATAATTCTCAAAGAAACAATATTTGTTTAAGCATTCAATTCTTATTTTTGTATTCCGTCGATCGGTATAACAACACCCTGTTAGTGCCGACAAATTATCACACCGCGCGTTGCTACGAAAGAAATAAAAGAGAGGATGAGAGAATTAAAAGATCTGGAATGCAATTATGAGAAGGAAACTAGAATTAATTTTTATTTCAATTTATGGTCCCAGTTTCATAACACCGGTGTTATTGTTCCAATTACTTTACCTTCAGTGAGCCTGAAAATACAGTTTCTATCATTTGACTGCATGTTCAATCATCCATAGATTTACTCAAAAGATTGGAAAAAACGGCTATACTTCCCGTGGACTTTTTGGTTTTGGTTAATATGAAACATGAAGTCTGAAACTAGGATTATAGTTCCACATTGCCGCAAGAATACGTAGGAAGATTTCAAAATTGTCAAATTTGCATTTTACCAAGTTTTGAGACCAGTTGCCATGGTAACCATACATCCATAACATCTAGGGTTTCTTGAAAATTTTGCTTGAAAAAAAGCTTATAATTATGTTGTACAAAGTTTGTAGGAAATGCAATTGGTCATAAAATGTTCAGTTACAATCTGTTCTTTTTAAACACAGCACTTGTTTCGTATATGGGTCACCCCTATCTTTTTTCTTCCAAAAGAGAAAGATTTAAAACTATGGGCCAAAATATGCTCACACGCAGTTTTTGCAATTCAATATCTATACCAAGCACTTCAACTGTCCATATTCTGGAACGACCTTGATTAAAATAGGTACCACATGATCCCTTATCTTTCTTACATAAACCTACAAGCATGGCCATACACGTGAGTACAAATATAAAGAAGGCTACTCACTTCTATTAGAATTCTTTCCATTCGGCTCTCGCAGTAGTCTGTTGCTGGTTTACAAGATGCTTCTCTTTGTTGTGGTTGTCGTTTTCTCCATTGCAAATGCCGAACATGGTAAGAGGTATACAAGTAACTGGAAAATCGAAATTTTTTTTTTGGGGGGGGGGGGGGTTCCAGTAACTAATAATTTCTAAAGTTGACTATTCTTGTTTTTAGAACTTTGTACTGTCATATGAAAAATATGAATTGCAAAAAAAAAAAAAAAAAAAAAAGACGAAGTATTTGCCTTGTTATTAAGAAAAATACATGTATTGTTGCTCTTATCATAAAAAAAATGAACATGGCTATTTTGGAAAACATTCCATACAAATATTCATACTGTCGGAAACAGTGGAAACACAGATGTTTTAAATCTATTTCAAACAGTAAAAGCGTCTTCTCCACAATACGTATGTAATGCAAACTTCAAAATCTACTTCCACACTTTGCAGGATGCAACTTTGATGGCAGAGAATACTCAGTCGGAGAACAAGTTGTGATCGAGCACTGTTTAGGCGCCATGACGTGCAAAGGAAACAACCTCTGGGACGACCTACAGCAATGGGGGTAAATTAATTCAGCAACACTTGGAAACATTATCTTGCAATACTTAATACTAATGACAATTAGCAAACTTTATGATTTTGAAATTATATGTTTGCAAACTTTGAACGAAAAACTGAAATTATATTTCATGATTACAAACCTAGTGATTCTGAAATTTTGTTCTCTGCGGGTTTTGAAAACATGAAAATAGCACAACGTTGAAATTATTCATGTCAAAATATTTTCAATTTTAGGGGCATCTGTCCAAATAAAAGATCTGATGATGGCCAAAGTAAGTGACTGGTGGTGGGTATGAGAGGGCGAAAATCAGCAAATACACATAATATTAGTATCTGTTACGAAAGCCTATTAGGATCAATCTATGGATAAAAAAATTAAAACTTAAGGCGTTATAACGCCTTTCGAAAAGGCGTAATAACGCGAAAAAAGGCGTAATAACGCCTTTTGATAAGGTAATAAAGCGAAAAAAGGCGTTATTACGCCTTTCTAAAAGGTGTTATTACGCCTTTCCGAAAGGCGTTATTACGCCTTTCCAAAAGGTGTTTTTACGCCTTTTCAAAAGGCGTTATTACGTCTTTCTAAAAGGCGTTATTACGCCTTTCCAAACGGCGTTATTACGCCTTTCTAAAAGGTGTTATTACGCCTTTCCAAAAGGCGTTATTAAGCCTTTCCAAAAGGTGTTTTTACGCCTTTTCAAAAGGCGTTATTACATCTTTCTAAAAGGCGTTATTACGCCTTTCAAAAAGGCGTTATTACGCCTTTCCAAACGGCGTTATTACGCCTTATCAAAAGGCGTAACAGGCGTAATTACGCCTTTTATTTTCAATACATGACTTACTTGGCTCACTCCAGATCTGAAATCTTACCCTCGGGACATGAATTTCACAATTAAATATAGGGCCATTTCTTCAAAAATAATTTAAACATATTCTAATTAGATTTCCAGGAAAAAAGATTTTTAAATGTGTAATATATTTTTAATGTTAAACCAACTTAGTCCTTCTCTGATGCCAGACACCTCTACCAAGGATCATGGATTTCACAAATTTGGTTGAAGGCTAATTGCATATTGTACCCATGCAAATAGTTTGCCTGCTTTTTTCCAAGAGGAGAGAAAAATATTTTCAAAATTGACAGGAATATTTAATACATGGCAAGCAAAGCCCCAAGTTGCATCTGCCCGTATCCCGGATTTCCACAAGTAGAGTGTTGACTTCTCTTAATACGCATGCAAACAGTTGTCTGCGAGATGTGCAGAAAATACTTTTAAATATTGCATAAATAAAGATGGCTTCGATTCAATATTTCAAGTATTTATTAATATAAAATAACGCATTTCCATTTTTGGATATGGAGCCTTTTCAAACAGGCCGGTAGTACGTGTGCAAATGGGGGGGGGGGGGGCTCCCCTCCCCACTTTTTGGGAGAATAGTCTTGCTATAGTTTAAATATAAAAATTCATTTATTGGCTGCTTGGTCCCTGAACATTTTGTTGCAGTATGGTCAAACTCTGACAAATAATTGCATTTAAAAAAAGTTTTACCGAGAAGTTATAAAAAGATCCCCCTCGAGTTGAGGCAGTTTAATAATTTTTTATTGGGGGGGGGGGGGCATCGTCTCAAGCCACGGTCCGGAGTCCGCATATAGCTCTCTCCTGGGAGAGGATCGTACAGTTTGGCCGTGGTTTGCGACGATGGAGGGGGGGGGTGTTTCTGGTTTTTTGTTTGTCAATTTTTTGAGAGGTCCCCCCCTTCCCACATTCAAAAGAACGGGGCTGTCAAAGGCATAATAATGGCTCTTCAAAAGGCATAATAGCGCCTTTTGGAAAGGCGTGATAACGCCTTTTAGAAAGGCGTAATAACGCCTTTTGAAATGGCGTCTTAACGCCTTTTTAAAAATTCTTTCTTCATAGATTGATCCTAATAGGCTTTCGTAATCTGTTACTTTTTGTAGTAATGATTTTTAAAAGGCAATAAGACACCTCGTTAAACTTCCCGGACACTTCCCTCTCCAAATGGAAATCCCGGGACTATACGTAACCATGGTAGAATATCTTTGAAAACCGCATTAAACTATCAATTACAATCAAGTGTTGACAATCTAGAACAAACCTGATGCCTTTTTTGCTTTAGCTGGGTGTCTGTTTGATGGACATGTATATCAGAAAATGGACAAAATCGTCTTCGGCGGATGTCTTGGAGAAATGACGTGCTTGGGTCACAGTCTGTATACCAGTATCACACCTTTGTTGTAAGTCAGACACATTTGCAATTTTAAATCATATCAAAGTAATAAAATGACTGCAATGAATTTAACAGTTTTGAAATAACAACGTTCTGGAATATTTTCAGCGGCGATTGTTCAAAGACCATGACAAGACGTTCTGAAGATGGACAGAGTAAGAATATTGCAATTTACGACATACATGTATAGGCCTTATAAACTAGCATAAAAAATTCAATATTCTTTTCCAATTGTCTTCCTCATTTGATTTAATTTACAAGTATTTATGAAAAACCCTTTCAAAAGCAATGAGAAAACAGTGAAACTGAGTTTCTTTTTCAGGTGGGTGTTGGTTTGATGGGCGAGTCTACTCTACTAGGGAGGAGATTCTTATAAGACCATGCCTCGGAAAAATGACCTGTTTGGGCGAAAATAATCTCAGCAACATCACACCACTATAGTAAGAATCCATGTGTTATCTTCATCTTGATTTTTCCCGGCCTCTACTGGTCAGAGACCAGAAGAGCTTATACAATAGTAAAGTGTACGTCGTCGTCCATCTGTCTGTTTCTTAAAATGCTACGTCGAGTTTTGGTTTAATTTCAATTGAAATTTCTGTGAAATTCTTTGAAAGGCTACTCCTCCTACAGTTTTGATCCGATTTCAGTAAAACTTTCTACACCAGTAGACTACTCTAGTGACTAAGATACATTATTCTTTTTATCAATTTTTTGATTTCGATGAACTGCATTGCATGGTTAGTAAAAATAGAAAATTCTGTGAAATTCTTTAAAAAACCCCTACTTTTCCTACATTTTTGATTCGATTCCAATAAAACTTTCCACACAAGTAGACTATACTCAGACACATACATAATGTAACTCTCTTCATTTTTTTTTATATGAGTGATGTTGCCATGGTTACTAAAATAGCAATTTCCATGAACTTGTTTCAAAATATTACTACAGTTTTGGTCCGATTTCAATAAAAATAAACCTCGGTGTACAAGTAGACCTCAATAAGATATAAGATCCTCTCTATCAGTTTTTAATTCTAACAAAGGTGTTGCCATGGTTGCTAAAAATATTTTTTTTTTTTGTAAAATTCTTTCAAAAGGCTACTCCTACTACAGTTTTTGTCCAATTGCAATTAATTAAACTTGCCACAAAAAGAGACTAAACCAAGGATCATTATTTTATGTATTGCTGTTGCCATAGTTTCACGTCCAAGTGCTACTTTTCTCTACCTTTGTTAAGTAAAAATCAGTAGAGCTACAGTTTCGCCGAAGACTTCTGGTTCTGACCAGTTTGAACACTGTGTTTGAAATTTGAAATATGTTTGTAAAATTGGAAAAAAAAAGGTTATGTAATTTAACCCGGTAATTTTGTACCAATTCCACTTAACCATTATGATTATAACACATATGTGCGTCTTATTTTAAAATTTGTAAAAATTCCACTTGTTCAGATACGATTCAATTCTTCAGTTTAAAAAGAAACTGTACTATTCTATCATTTCAGCGGAATCTGCGAAGCTAAACGAACTGTAAATGGTCAAGGTAATTTTATTATTATAGATTTCTATTAGTGTCGTTGTCAGGCCCTACTTAGAATTAAGTTACTTTTTGTATGTCTTTCCTTTTTTATGTACAGATGGATGTCTCTATGATGGTATGGTTCTAAAAGCTGGCGAGACCATCACTATTCAGGGAACAACAACTGAACTCATGTGTCTCGGACACAACTTGTATAAAGAATTCATTCATTAAGGTACCTTAATTGTTAATAATTGAAAGAAACAGTATATGTATGTAGATGAAATACATCAAAATTAGCTTCTGGCAATTGCAATAATTCTGGGTTTATTTTTCTTTTCAGAAAACATGAGCAAATGATGTACATATCTCATCGATCAAATATTTATGGCGTGTTTATGTTTTCATTTGTATCCTTTTCATTGTGTCTTTAAAATAAATTATATCTCATATAAATATTTCACGATTCTTTGTTCAACTGAAACAAAGAGTTTCTGTGAGTTAAAAATTTTCTCAATCTTCTGTCCCCTTGTCGTCGTATCACATATGTTGTCTGTTTGTAACAATTACTTAGGAACGTACATGTAGAAAACAAACGACTTCACTAATGAGGGGTGGGGGTCTAAGCGAACCAAATTATTTTACAAGCATAGAGAAAATAAAAACTTAACAGGTAATCGGCTACTATTATTGCTAAGGGAGGGGGCATAAATTTTAGAGTATATATTGTGTAATTTTATAGTATATATTGTCAAAATTAATTTCGTGTGGACCACCCTTGAGTCCCTTGGTTCCTACAGCATGTACGGGCCTGGAAATATTTCAGAGCCAACTACCAACTAATGTACGAAGCCCCATGTGAAGATATTAAGACCAACTTAAATAATGTTTGTTTGCCCTCTCCCGACTCAGGATGAAAAAATTGGGTCGGTAGGTAGGTGAGAAATTTTGTTTTCTCAGAAAATTTCAATTTCAATGCTGAATTTTCAAAATCTATTTTTCCAGAATGCATAAAAAAAATTGCTCCCTGGAGGTTAAAAAAGTTTCGAGTCGGCCCAATTTTTTCCGGTCGGTGGGGAGAGGGCAACCAAACAATTTTTTAAAGATGGGCTAAGATATTCAAGCTTCATAAAACGAAAGACTAAACCTCAGTTCGTGGACCTTTTAAAAAATATCACTTGACAAATGTTTAAGCCATATATCTCTAAAAATATTCATCGTAAATCATAGATAGAAACTCATATTTGAAATTAACTCCCCTGCTGTGTTAGTGCGTGTAATCATTTTACAATTGCTTTTCCGTTACTTAGCAATACTTTAATTTACGTGTGAAAAAAAAAACCCACCAGGATTTTTGTGTTCATTCATCTCAGATATCATACCTTTAACGATGTCAATTAGTATTTCATTGTATGACATGTTTATCTTTTGATCTGAGAATTTTTTGGTAACACGACACCATTGGCACCTGCAATATTCTTCCTATAAAAGAGACTTGAAAATGACTCTGATTAATTTACACATAAAGGGCTAGTTAGTGAACAACCATGTTTTACTCACTGAAACTCACTTGCTTGATTTTTATGTCTTGCATTGGGCATGAAAGTGTTGCCTTCCTCTTGGACGGACACACGAATCCGTCTTCAGCAATCAATCAAACTTGTGGTACTTACAATATTTACAACAAAATAGATGCCATTGAAAAAGAGACTCAGAAAAAAATCCACGACATGGAGACGATGATGCGTCAAGTTTTGCTTACAGTTAACCAGATGGATGTCAAGTTGGAAAACAGCAACGTTCACAACATGAGTCTTGAAATTGAAAGACTAAAGAAAGTAGTTTCCAACGATGTAAAAAATTCAACAGGTATTATATATAGGTGCTGTTTGTATATCTACTTCGCTTATAGATAATATCCAGTAATTGCGGGATACTTCGAGATTTCTGATGTTCTAGATGAATTATTAAATAAATTAAAAAAAAGAAAGAAAATATGAAAATTATTAAATAAATTAAAAAAGAAAGAAAAATATAAAAATCTAAAACCAAAAAAAAAATCTTTAGAAAAAGAATGGGAAAAATTAATGAAAGTAAGGTTGGGCATATCTCCTGAATTATTATTTTGAAAAACACTATTTTGAATGAATCAAGAATGTTTAAATTTAACACAACTATGCAGAAATGATGTGGTAAAGCCGGTAAAAAATTATTATTATAAATTATTATAAATTAATTTTGCAATGATTTTAAGTCTCAAAATCAGGATTACTAGACCTCGACTTGAATGAGATTTTTTTTTTTTTTTTTTTTTTTTTACATTTGTAAAATTTTTACTTTAAAATAAAGAGCCATAGCGCATTTGATAGGCATTTTCGCCTACTGTAGTAGTGATTTCTCAAATACATTTTTAACCAATATTTTGTTATACAATCTTAGTTTATACATCAGTAAACTCAAATTACACTATAATAGCATTTAAATATTAAAAGTTCTCTTATACGATTAATATGGAAATTATTCAGTTTGTATGGATTATATAGTAAATATTAATGTAGCTACCTAAACTATGAAAAACTGTTGCCTAAGACCACCCATAATCAGAAAAACAACTTCTGAATAATTTTATTCGGGTATGACTGCACCTTATTACATTTAAATAATTTTGGTTAAAGATGGTCTTAATATTGAAAAATGATAAAAATATATATTCAGTTTTCCTTCTCATATTTCCGTAAGATTGACTATAATCTGTCTAAAATTTATCATTTGAACTTCAATGACTCCGTGGCGCAGTGGTATGATCGCTGTACAGAAAATCTTGTGATTCCGAGACCAGTATTTTCCAATCCTGTGCTTTTTAATTTTTTGGGGGGCATTTCTTTTCCACGTTTTTTTTTAAATATGTTATAATGAACACAATTCCGAAAAGTTTCAATATCACACGTTACATTTTGAAAGTATCTCGGGAAAAGGCAGTTCCAAACTATTTTCTTAAATTCTACAAATTCATACCTCCTTGTTTTATTGTTCAAGATTTTCTTAACCTTTTGTCTCGAAATCAGAGTAATGAGCAAGTAAATGACATTTATATGTTATACCTGCACTTAAGAAAATATAATACACGTCCACAAATGATATTAAATATGTTGGCTTTGAATTGAACAGGAATGTCTATAAATAGAAACGGGTGATTTCTCGAGTCGGTCGTGTCGTCGGCAAGGCAGCTATTTTACAGTTTATCAATCAATTTCTAATCAATTCAAGCATTCTTGACATTTTGATAGGCCAAGATGAATTAATTGAAAACCTCATCTGCATGCTTTTTCCCCACTCAGGTAAACAACAGTGATTTCTGTTCATCAAAACTTTGTTCATTTGAACATTTTTCCTGGGGGTAAAAACGAAGCACCTTATGTTGAAAATGATATAAATAAGCTCAATATTTACACCTTTATACAATATAATTTTCTCAATGTCCAAAAAACATTTTCGTTTAGTGTAAAGAGGGTCCTTAACATTGTCAATTAATCGTTATATTCTTCACATAAAAATTGATATTTGTGAGTTTGTCAATCTGCTCATATGGCCCAGAATAAAATATTAATGTTGGTTTCAGTTTCTTGTGATTTTAAGCATGCTTTGTTTAAAGTGTTCATTTTGTGCAATTTGATCTGGAGGCTTTTTTTTTTACTTGTATCCCTGTAATATGTACTATAAATCCACGTTTATCAAGATTATTCTATCTCCTTCAGGTATCGGGTTTACAGCTAAACTTACTCATAGTACGTACAAAAGCACCACTGATGTTATCAAAGGTAATGCTCCTATATTTAACTCCGGGAATGCGTACAATGGATCGGTATTTACATGTCCAATCCAGGGACTGTATTTCTTTCATGTGTCAGTGTTAACAAATACAGATGATAGTGGTGCATGGATCTACAAAAATAGTCAACAGCTTACACTTGCTTATACTGGTTATGGTCCTCACTTCAACGGCGCATCTGTCTCAGTGGCCATTAGGTTAAACATTGGCGATCAAGTGTACCTACGACCTTACAGTAATTCACTCAATTTGGATGAGAATTCTGCCTTCACTGGAGTCAAAATAAATTAACATTTATTCTTTAAAATAGAAAAAAAAAAAGAAATACGGCCTAATTATTCAGTAATTGAAAAGGAAATATGCTATTTAACCTTATCATTTCAGTTAGGCCTATTAGCTGTAGATTTACTGTAAAGTTTTTGTACTAAAATTAAATTCATTGTATTAAATATACGAAGAATTTGAATGATACATTTTCATAATAAATAATAACAATTATAATAAATTCTTTAAGGCTGTCGAAATTGAAATAATACCCCAGTCTAGGAGCTTCTTGAAAGTACTGAAGAGCATTTTTCTATCTGATAAACTTTTGTGACTTTAACGTCATTGAAATGTACAGCTCTAAATAGAGATCTAGTTGAAGTATCGGATATAAAAGTATGAATTTTTGAAGTAGAGGCATTTTGAAATAGAAAGTTATCTGTAGTACAACACTTTCTGGAATCCTCAACATCGCGCATTTTGCTCCAATTCAACCCTTCTCATGAAAAAGTGGATCCACCCTTTCTCGTTATGGATTTATGTAAAAAGCCTTACATGTAAGAGGTATATAGGTGTCATTGTTTGAACAAAGGAATACCTTCGAAACTCATTCACATACTAACTTCCGTCATGGACTTTTATTTGAATGTTGAAGAATGCCATGTAAAACTAACATGAGTCTGTAGGGTTGGATAACGACTATGAAAGCATACTAACCTTATCTAGACGAAGGGTTTCATTTTCACCACGTATTTTTAAACAATAGAACAGAGGATGGGATATGTGTTGGAAGGTGGAAGAACATCTGGTAACATCCCCTATACTTTTCACACGATATGTGAAAATGCAAATTACACTAGGTTTGGAGAGAGACAAAAAAATCGTTTCAGGTTATCAACATAATTTTCTTTTACTCATAATATTCTGGGATTAATAAAGATTTATACACATAAAGCAATAAAACCAGACTATAAAACCCATGCAATTACATCAATATTCAAATGCTTTTTAAAACAAATATTATTGATGTAAAGAGGGGGGGGGGTTACATAGTTGGTATCAAAATAAGATGCCTTTCAGCTTTTTTTCTTATTATTTTCCCCAAGAAATAGTTCTTACATTATAATAAAGATGGACCCTTCATAGGTTTGTATTATACTCATGCGACCCTTCAGGCCCTCGGACCTCTTGTTTTCTTTCGAACAATAATAATAAAATAATCATACTTTAACTTTGCAGTAAATTCAGATACCAATTTTTGCACATTTTGAAAGATTTGATTGAAATACCCCCACATAAATCCTGAAATTGCTAGCATTTTTTTTATTTTTCTCTCTTTAAGCGATCTTGAAGTGAGGGACCAACCATTTACTCTGGCTCTTTTTCTGAACAGATCGTTTGGAGGAGGAGGGGTCAACTGCCATTTTACTTTTTAAAATCAGTACCAGCATAGCCCTACCCTTCATTCTACCAAACAAATTTATAATATACAGGATACATTAATTTTGTTTCTTTCAATAGCACGCAAGTGCCGACTCACTAGTTGCTGATGTAAAGAGCTTTACTTATTTCGAAACTCCATTTCCGTTTCTATGTAAACCACTCATTTTTTTTCTCCTGATTTTGAAATTAAATTTGTAATTCAAAGCCAAACTATGTAAATTCCATTGTTCAAAACTTGTCAATCAGACATAATAATAATACTAAATACTAATAAAAGTTCTTCCCTGAATCCTAATAGTTTGAATAAAAAAAATAATATTCCCAAGACATTAAAAAATGTAAAAATATGATTTACTTCATTACTAAGTACAACCTTTTTAATATTTTAATATTGTATGTACTGTAGTAATTAGCAAATACAATAATTTTCTGTTTGAAGCAAATCAAATTACTTTTTAGAATAATTAAGACGTCCAGTGTATTTTTCTTTAATCAGTCCCTTGAAGATTGGTTGTTTCTTTGTTTTAAATCCCTTTATTTTTGGAACGAAAACATTTGAACATTTGCCCGGCACTTTTGGCCATTGGGCAGTGAGGGATCTTTTTCGTGCCAGCAGTTACTGTGACACTGGACCTAAGTCACCCCTACTAATGCTACTGTGATTTAAATTCAAGACACGTGGTGTAGGTTGACCCATTCTAAGGTTATAGGGCAGAACCGGTTTTATAAATAAAATTGGCAGTAAACAGGAAATTGCTATAATCTGTTTCTTTTAAAAACAAGTCCTATAAAAATGTGTTTCCAGAATTTTCTGAAAGATTTTTAAGATTTTAAACAGAAATGAGTGGGATTTAAAAAATCACAATCTATACTTTAAAATTAATTCGCTTTTGTGATAATTTACGGCGAAAATTGGAGCTTTAGGGTAATGTCGCGTGTAAATGACTTAATTAGTGTGAGCTCATCTCACTAAACAAGTACTGCTAAGCAGTATTGAAAAGCGCCTTTGATTGTTCTACAAAGTCATCGGCGCTTTGTTTGAGTCTCAAAATATTCACTCATCAGTCAAACAGGAAAGTTTATATTTTTTCACTGTTTTCCTAATAATAAAAATTGACCAAGTATGTTTTAATTAGACAGTACATCAAGCATTACAATTTGTAGGAGAGTTATATTTTTATTTAAAAGCAACATTAATTAGCTTGAAATTAAAGAACTTCACTCGACACTCCTATTTTCCTCGGGATGTTTCGCATATATCCATATCAGTCTTTCAATAAAAAAAAAATCAGCAAAAGTAACTGTTCTTTGATGAGAACTTAGCTCTAAGTACTGTTATCAGAATATATTCTGTTTATCCTTCCTGGTGCTTATCTGCATCACTCTCAAAATTTTTACTCATCAGTCAAACCTGAGATTTAATTCTCTCTTTTTCAATGTTTCATATACCCAAACTAGGCGTTGCATAAAATAATAAAAAGCAATGGAAAAATTTGTCGAAAAATCCTTCGACATTATTACTGCATTGTTAATTTAGATTCATATGAAAGAGAAGAATCATATAAGAGATGTGAATGAAAATATTCCATCCAGTCTGTTTTTCAAAACTTTTTTAAAAATAAAAATATATTAGAAAATATGATAATTTATACCTTATTTTCAATACAATAACGTAAAACAAAAATGGACTTCATTTTATTGATTGACGTTGCTTTGTAGTGCAGTGCAATAAAATGCAGTTAAATTCTTATTATAGTAAGCATTGAAAGGTGATATTAGGTTTGAAAAATATACTCGGGTGTCCGGTCTTTGGGTATCTGAGAATCTTGTCTTTTTAGATATTCGATTTGAATAAATTCATACTGGCGGGAGATATTTCACAAGTTAACGACGTAATAGTTGTGAATCAATTTACCTTTAAAGTTGCTTTTATACGACATTTGTATGATATTCTGTTTACAAATCACCTTTTGTACTTTTTTTAAATTTATAAAGGTATTATTCCAATAAATTTCAGAATGTATTTTCAAAGCTGCTGTCAGGAAAAAAAAAAAAAACATATTTACCTACCTTTCCAACTTCAGATTTTAGGGTCGAGTTAGGGGAAGCAAAGATAGTTTTAATGATGGTCTAAGGGAACCAGGTTTTTGTAGAAAAAAAACACTTTTTACCCCCCCCCCCTCCCCATTCGGCCCCCATGGTAAAAATGAAAAATTCAAAAGCTTCTTGCACATGTTCAAGGCACCATCAATAATATTCCGAAAGATAATTGGCTGCTGCTTAAGATGTAAGAGTAGTTTGAGGAAAAAGAAAGTGTGACGGACGGACCAGGATAACAGATATATGTATATGATGTATATACCCGAACTTCCATGTGTGTTGGTATAATAAATATTGATCTGAAAACAGGAAGTAAAATACACCTTTCTTCTTTCTGGTTCTACTCTCTTATCAATGAAAAGGTGAACTAGCAAACAGTAATCAACCTCATAAATCTAAAATTCCATACAAAATCAATAACAATAAAAAATCAATAAAATCAATAAAACTATAGATGCTGTCATAAGACAGTATCACTCGTACTAATCTAAATGCACACTCCTTCATATTTGGGAAACCAAGGAAAAAGACACAATAGTTCTTTAATTCACACAGAATATAATCAAATCGAGCATAAAATGCTAAGGTGAACATGAGACAGTAATACTCGCATTAAGGTGTTTGCCTATAAATGCCCAATGGGCCTCTTATGTAAGTATTTCAAATATACTAAATTCATTATCAGTCTAAAATTACAGAATTTAATGATGTTAATTAAGAACATATTTAAAAAAAGGGGGGGGGCTCATAATTGTGACTTTTTAAATTTATTTTCAAAATAACAAATATTATTACTTTAGTGCATAGCGTTTTTGAAGAACTTTAAAAAAAATTGATGCAACTTTCAGAGTTGATTGAATTGTGCAAACTTTTATCAGTATTTGGGTAGGCAAAAACCCTTTCCAAACCCACACCTGATCAATGTTGTCAAAACCAACCCCATCCATAATTTGCCTGTTTTCCCATCGTATTTGGAAATAGATGGCACGTTATGTAAAAACATCGTTTGAAATTACAATATTTGTACATGTACACCTTTTTGAAAATTTCTACATCCGCGCTTCGCATTGGACTTGCGATGAAAGTTTTACATGGGAATGTATAGGAAAAAATCTTCTCAAGAACCGCACTGGACAAGAAAAAGTTTCATAATATAGGGTACAATCAAATTCGTTCTTTCAAAACTCTACTCTTCCTACAGTTTTGACCCAATTTCATTAACACTTAGAGCACAAGTAGATTGTACAAAGACACATAATTCTATTTATCGCTTTTTGATTTCCACGAAATGTTGCAATGGTTACTAAAAGTGCATTAAAAATGTTATTCCACCAACAGTTTTGGTGCAATTTTCATACGAATTTGTACACAAATACACAATATTAAGATACATAATTTTATTAATCAGTTTTGATTTCAGTGAAGGGTATTTCCATGGTTACTTAAAATATAGAGCATTTTGATTTTTTTTTTCAAAATGCCACGTCTCTTACAGTTTTTGTCTGATTTCCATACAACTTGGAGTTGAAGTTGAACATACTAAGGTAGATAATTCTATACAACAGTTTTTTTTCTTACTTTGACAAACAGTGTTCCCATAGTTACTAAAAATAGAAATTTCTTTAGAATTCTTTCAAAATCCTACTCCTCAAACAGTTTGGGTTGGATTTTAATAAGCCTTGGTGTTCAAATAGACTATACCAAGATAGTTACATAAATTTTCGTATCGTTAATGATTTTTAAAAAAGTTTTCTTTAAAATTAAACCCACTTATTTCAAAAAGATACATCTTTATTGTATAAATATACACCACTAGAGTAGGGCGGGGATGGTACATTAACTTCTATATTGATATGTTTCATGATATTTGTGTCACAATACGATTCATATTAGGATATAAAATCTTTTTGTAATGAAATGAACAAAATATTTCTTCACAAATAAGAATAATTTATTCATAGAAGTTTATACATGTATGTATGCTGTAAAACAAAAATTTTAACAAAAGCGGTTTAAATTATAATGTTTTCCATATGCATAGTTATTTGTTTTACATATTTAACCCAAAATGTTATGTAAACAAAGAAGAAGCAAGACTGAAAATTTGTTTGCGATATTTCCACATTTTACATGCTAGTACTGGGGTATACTGACAGACGGACGGACACATATTCATCAGCAATATGTAAACCAAAGAATTCATCCCAAGACGTTAATTTCATATTTTGTTACTAAAAATGGTGTCTCTCTCTCTCTCTCTCTCTCTCTCTCTCACACACACACCCTTCCCTCAAACACTTCATTTAATGCACCCGTGTTTTCATGACTTTAAAAACGCCTTCATTGTTTAGAATTTACCTTGATGGGCAGGGGGTGTTTCACTCTAGAGCAAGACTTCAACGGGGAAACGTGGCCCTAGAGTGGACCTTTCCAAAGAGGATAGTATCACTCTAGAGTGAATCTTGCACGGGGGGAGGGGGATGACGAAGGCTCTAAAGTGAGGCTTCCCCCCTTGGGTAGACTTGCTATCTTTTGGGGTGAGTATGCCTCAGGGGAAGTATGGCTCTAGAGTTAGCCTTTAACCCCCCCCCCCCGGGGGGGGAGGTAGGCTCACTCTAGAGCAAGACTTCCGGTGGGAAGTCTCACTAATGGGAGGGGGGGGGGGTCGCTCTACAACACCGGAAAGCTCGAACTACACCTTTTCGCTGGTACGATTAAAAAGTTGCGGTTGACATTACGTCGAGATAGCTAGCCCGAGGGTTCCGAGATGATGTTACAGACATTGTTTTCCTCCTTGTTCTATATGACTGGTAGCAATTGCTTTAATTCCTTGGATAGGAGTAATTCTAACGTTTGTTTTAACTAATCCTTGTGCAAGCATATTTAAAAAGATCATAAAAAATATACAAACGTGATAAAATCGTGTTTTTTTAATAAATTGTTGTTTAGTCAATCAAATAATTATAAGTTTTGCTTCTCAGTAACTTTAAAGACCATATCAACTTTCAAGGAAGGGACAAACTACAAGTGGAGGAAAAAGATATTTTTGGCTTAAGTTTGGTATGTGAATTTTTAATTCCTTACCTTTTTCAGACCTTTTGCATTTTTTTTAACTTGTACGTTATGAATTCTTAAATTGTTTAGCTCTCCAAGATATCAAGAAAATGAGGAGGTATAGGATCACAACTGGCTCTTCTTTTTATTCAGATCATTAGCTCACCTGAGCTGAAAGCTCAAGTGAGCTTTTCTGATCACATTTTGTCTGTAGTCCATCTGTCCGTAAACTTTTCACATTTTCAACTTCTTCTCCAGAACCACTGGGCCAATTTCAACCAAACTTGTCACAAAGCATCCTTGGGTGAAGGGGATTGAAGTTTATTCAAATGAAGGACCACGCCCTCTTTCAAGGGGAGATAATTAAGAATTAGTGAAAATTTAATAACATCTTTTAAAAATCTTATTCTCAAGAACCACAGTGCCAGGAAAGATGAAACTCATGTGGAAACATCCTCAGGTAGTGTAGATTCAAATTTGGAACAAATCATGACCCCCAGAGGTAGGATGGGGCCACAATGGAGGATCAATGTTTTACATAGAAATATATGAGAAAAATCTTTAAAAATCTTCTCAAGAACAGCAAAGCCATGATGAGTCATATTTATATGGAAGCATCCTCGGGTAGTGTAGATTCAAGTTTGTTCAAATCATGACCCCGGGGTAGGGCGGGGCCACAATGGTGGATCAAAGTTTTACATAGAAATATATAGGAAAAATCTTTAAAAATCTTCTTCTCAAGAACAGCAAAGCCATGATGAGTCATATTTATATGGAAGCATTCTCAGGTAGTGTAGATTCAAGTTTGTTCAAATCATGACCCCCGGGGGTAGGGCGGGGCCACAATGGAGGATCAAAGTTTTACATGAAAATATATAGGAAAAATCTTCTTCTCAATAACAGCAAAGTCCTGATGAATCATATTTATATAGAAGCATCCTCAGGTAGTGTAGATTCAAGTTTATTCAAATCAGGACCCCCAGGGTTAGGGTGAGGCCACGATGGAGAATCAAAGTTTTACATAGAAATATATATGAAAAATTTTAAAAATCTGAAGAAGAACTGCAAAGCTATGTTTAGTCATATTGATATGGAAGCATCCTCAGGTAGTGTAGATTCAAGTTTGTTCTAATCATGACCCCTGGGGGTAGGGTGGGGCCACAATGGGGGATCAAATTTTTACAAAGAAATATATGGGAATTTTTTTAAAGCTTCTCAAGTACAACAAAGCCATTTGTTATATTGAAATAGATGCATCATCAGGTAGTTTAAAATTCAAGCCCCCCCCCCCCCCCGGGGAATCTTTTCAATACTGAACTGAGTTGTACTTTTGCCTAGCCAATGTGCTCAGGTGAGCAATGTGGCCCATGAACCTCTTTTTGGGGATGATGAGGGATGGGGCTTATTGGGGATGATGAGGGATGGGGCTCATGCAGCCTATATCAATCATACACACACACACACACACACAGTAAGGATAAGTTTCTTTGAATATCGAGTGCTGGCTAGTTGCAGTTGGGTAAAGCTTTACTTTTTGAGAAAATTCCATTTACTTTTCTGTGCAAGAAAAATCATCCCACAGACCCCCCTCAACTAGATTCTGGGCATAATTTGTAATTCTTGCCCAAACTAAGTAAATTCTCTTGCACAAAACTTGTCAATCAGAGACAAAGATAGTGATTCTTCTTAGCCTTAAACTTTGATGAATAAAAAAAATTCTACAAACTACAAATTAAATAAAATATGTTTTATTTAAACATTTGTGTACAACCTTTTCAACTGTTGTAAATAGCAAAGACAATACTTCACTTTCACTGTTCGTTTGCAGATATTGAAAAACTTGAAAAGGTTCAGTTGAGCGCTGCAAGAATTGTGACAGGTCTGTCAGTATTAGCGTCAAGAAACTCGTTGTATGTTGAAACAGGATGGGAACCTCTTATAATAAGAAGGGATAAAGCTAAACTTTTAACAATGTTTAAAATCCACAATAACCTAGTTCCTGGTTATTTAAAAAATATAGTACCAGTAGTTAGAAAAAGTGTTTCAAATTATAATACTCGTAATTCAAGTAATTATTTTTTACCGAAGTGCAGGCTTGAATTACTAAATAAGTCATTTGTCCCTGATACTATTCGCAAATGGAATTCATTGAGTAACGAAACAAGGGAAATAACTTCAATAGGAATTTTTAAAAGAAAATTGAATAATGATAATGACAAGCCTCCCAAGTATCTATCATACGGCAAAAGGTATCTGAACATTTTACATACAAGATTAAGGCACAATTGTATTTTAAATCATGACTTGTATAGATGTAACATTATAACGAATCCAAATTGTTCTTGTGGATATAAGGAGGATAGTCATCATTATTTCTTTGTGTGTAGAAAATATCTTGAAGCTAGACGTTTAATGTTGAATGCATTACTTGTAATTAATAATGTAAAAATGTTAAATGTGCATAAACTGCTATGGGGAGATGAATCATTATCTTTGCAGGAAAATGAAAAAATATTTGGTATTGTTCAAAAATTTATTCAGGATACTGGTCGTTTCAATTAACACTTACATGTACTTGTATTTACTACTTTTTGAAACTATTTTAATATGGTTATTGACGTCATTATAATCATCATTATATCAACTGATATTCCTTAGCAATAATAATTATTGTCTTTGTTCTTCTACGTTCATGTATAATATTGTAAAATTGTAAATCTTTGTAAATGTTGTATGGCTATTAAGATTTTATGTATGGGAGAGGACTATCTAAGTTTTTAGAACTTGTGTCCAATCCCTTTGACACATTGTCAATAAAATATGTTCAAAACAAAAAAACAAAACTTTCAAAACATTATTTTTGACAACAATTGAGACATTTAATGTCATGGATTTTTGTTACAGTTTCCCAGTATATTCTGGTGTGATTTTGTTGAAGAATATTAGAATCTGTGATGAAATTACCTTCAATAATGTAAAAAAAATTATTTAAATAAATAAAACGAGCAAAATCCTGTGAATTTTGGCCTGGTACAAAAAGAAAAAGTTTTTTTTTTCTATTTTGAAGAAAGTAACTGAACAATCAAAGCTGTATACATTATTTATAACAAGTGTACTATTTTGGCACCATTTACTTCATGACACATACATAAAAGAATGAGTGTTAATGATGTAAGAAACATATTTCAAATGTGTTCTAACAAAGTGAAGAAAAAACATTACCAGATATAAGATACCAAAACAACAATCCGAAAGAAAGAGCAAAAGCAGAAACATTATGAATAAGGAATATATTATATCACTGCATGAGTATGCAAAAATTCAACTTGTTTTTATCAAAGTAAATGAAGAAGCAGAACTTTTGTATGCCTCTTTAATGTTTTGTAGTTGTGTGAACTTATACATGCTTCTTTATTGCATAAAGAACAGAAATGGTTTACATAAATTCAGGGTCAGTAATTCTATATGAGTGAAAAATTCTCAAATTTGATGTACGAAAAACAACAATAACATAAATTCAGGGTGAATATAAAGTGTTTTAAAACAGTTAACTCATATAAGGTCACAAAAAAGAGAGAACATTTCCCACTAAAAGTCATCATTTATATATGGAATCATTTTAGATAAGAAATTTTGTCAGCAATCCAATAGTATTTAACTAAATATTATAATTCTTTTCATCTTAAAAAATACATTTTCTTCAAATTTCTTTTATCAAAACATCAGATATTAAAGACAATAATGACTTCCTTCTTTTTCGTGGCAGCAACACATATCAAAATTTCGTTAATAAATGAAACATTTTTTTTCTCTCCACATCTGTGACTAGAAGTTGAGATGATACACAACCTAAATCATTAATTAATCCTGTGCCTTTGCCGTCCTAACAATGGCTCTTCCTCATCGTCTGTTTTTGTTTCACTCTCACATACAGATTTTTCCAGTTCTTGCTGCTGCCGTTGTTTTCTGCTGATGTTTAAAATGCCACCCTGTAAAAATAAAACATAAAAAAGATTGATTTTTGAAGATAAAATACAAAATAATTTTTTTTCATTAAAAATTCCTTCTTGGGAAATATTTCTTATACATGTACAGTTATACTGATTACATCTAAAAGCGAACATAAGATGGATCATTAATTACATGTACAGTCAAACCTCATTATCTTGAACTCAATGGGACCAAGAAAAAAACTTCGAGATATCCAAGGATTCAAGATATCGAGGGTAAAATACTTAAAGAATAAGTGGTTCATACTTCAAAATTACTTCGACACATATCCATGGTATTCGAGATATCGTTGTTCGAGATACCAAAGTTCTACTGTATTTACACTGTAGAAAATTAGGTGTGCGAGCACAGATTATCCCTGCTCTAAATAAACAACATACCTTTCTTTTGTCTGTTATGTTGAGGAAGGTAGTTACAGTTACACAAGCCAGAGAATTAGCCAACAAAAATATCATCACATACTTCCATCTTTTTAGAGTTTCCTCATCACTCAAACTGAAAACATGAAAACAAGAACTTTTTCTGGAGGGAGCCATTTTTTTCTTCATACTTGTAAAACACATCATCATATTAAATAAAATTATTACACACTGGGTCTTAAAGAACTCCAGGGTTCATGAATTTAAAATTTATAACTGTTTATATTTTTTAAGAAATGAATTTACGAAATTATGAAATACACTCATGTAGTGTTTACCTTTCATTCTTTCCAAGAATTTGTCCCACCACCAAGTTAGACACACCAATTCCAATCATCTGTATTGAGGTAGTAAGCCCCATGGCAGTCCCCACAGTTGCCTGGGAGACAACTAGGGGGATAGAAGGCCACATACTGGCCTGAAATAAAAAATAAATCATTACCAACAGTAATGCATGTCCAAGACATCTACATTCACCTTCAGTGTGAGGCATACAAATTAACATGAGATAGCTCTCCTAGTTAAAATAAATATTAATGCTTTTATATGAGACAGAGTAAACGTTATACTCACAGCTGCAAAGGAGTATGTGATTCCCAGCCAGAGGGTACATACGAGGGGGTACACCTTGGTGAAGGCCAGGAGTCCAAAGAGGGGGATAGTCAGCAAGGCACACAGAAGAGCCAGGATACCCCGCTTACCTATTATATCCTATAACAGATAGAATATGACTCACCTTTCATATCTGATTTACTAACAACAAAAATGAAAAGAAACAAGATGTGTTTGTGAAACACTATGCCCCCGATGGTAACACAATTCTGGAGTGGGACATAGACTACAGTGCAATAGTTATGGCCAATGTTAAAGTTTTTCAAATGTAGGTCAAAGGTCACAGTTGAGGTCACATGATCAAAAATTTCTGTACCAATGGAAAGGTCTTCTCATAATGAACACTCATGTCAAATATTAAAGCCTTACCCTTGACAATGCAATAGTTATGGGCTAGGTTAAAGTTGACAACAGACAGACAGACAAACAGACAGACAAACAAACAGACAGACAGGACAAAAACAATGTACCCCCAGGATCTTTCGGGTGTTCTCCAATTTCTTTTCTTCATGAAATAATGCCCAGAAGTTGCAAAATATAATTTTTTTCTATGTTCAACCATTCTTTTTGGTTCATTTACCTAAAACATTAAACAAAATGTTATCATTTACTCATTTACTCACAATGACTCCTCCCAGAAATGGAGACAGAATCATAGAAACATCATAGACAGCCCCGGCAATATAGGCACTAACATCTTTATTCATCTTATACTTCATATGAATGAACTTACTGAAAAAAAAAGTTCATTAAATCAAGTAAATGTATGAAAGTATGTAACAAGTTTGAAGTCCTTCCAAAATCATAGAGTACAGACTGATTTTTTAATTTTTAGTCAGGATTTTCTGACTGAATCATCAGTACAAAATTGGTACAACAAACAATATCAGTAGACAACATCTAGTTTTACCAATGACAACTTGCATTTGCAGTCACCTGATTACATTTAATATGATATAGCAGTCAGCTACATGTTCTAGTATGTATATAGCATATTCATAACACTACAATTTATTTCTTATTTTCCTTCAAAAATTGTAATGTTCTATACTATTCCAATCAAAGTCTGATTTATCTGCCATTGTTCAGCTATGGTACAACATATAATACTTATTGATGCTATATTATTCACATCATCTCACCTAGCATCTGCTACAAAAGGGAAGACTCCATTGTAGAAGAACATGATGGACAAGGCTAACAGCCAGTAAGAAAGGGAGAAGTCCTTAATGTCTGTCAGTTTCTGTTGAAAGAAATATTAGTATTCTAGTGATCTAAGACAAATGCAAAAGCCATAAATGATAAATTTTGCAAGATTAAATCTGCAACTTTTGACATTTATATAAAATTGAAATTTTGTTTTTAATCTATAACAATATAGGTATATTTCCGAACATGTATATACATACCAATTTCTTAGACTGTGATTTTAGATTGTCTTCGTCCCCAAGGGCCCTGACACCCATTTTGTCTAAGAAACTGACAACTATTGCACTAACAAAACCCAATCCACACAACATGGCTCCTGCAAAATAAGGATATTATGGATTTAGTAAGGGTACCATCACTACAAACTGATTTGACAAGGCATTTTAAAGGTAATCTTGAATTCTTAATATTTTCAAGAGTCACATTCTCCATTGAATTATTAACTCATATCTCAAACATTAAGTTTTGATGCTTCAATCTCTTCTTAGTTCAAAAAAATTTACTTCGAGTCAAAAGAACATCATTACTTAAAAATAACAATATGCTCAATTTGAATAATTCTAGAATAGTACCTCCCCATAAAGTCCAAGGTAAACCATAAATGTCTTTGAAGTTTTGAGTCAGGAAGAAATTCAGAACACTTCCCAATCTTGAAAATGCCAGAGTTATTCCAAATGCCAAAGCCAGCTCTTTGTTTCTGAACCAATAAGCTGTAATTCTGTTCTGCACAACTACAATGAAAGAAAAAGAAATACAAATCTGTTACTACAACTTAAATTTTACTCAGATCAAATGTGTATTTATCTTTTTATTGTTTTTGAAATGTAGATGATGATTGTTCTTTAACTAAAAAACTTCCATGACTACAGTCTTGCCTTTAAAATGCACCAAGGGACTCAAAGATTGGCAAATTAACCTCCATTTTAAAGGTTTCACCCCAAAGAAAAAGAAACAAAAGAAATGCTTACTTGTGAGAGAGCCATTTCCTGAACCAAACAACAGTCTTCCCAGTAACATAATGGGCAACATGTATGATGTCCCCTTTAACATGGCTCCTACTGCAAAAGTGGACGACCCAAGGACACATAGGAAAGAAAAGAGGAACACTCCCACTACAAAAAATACAGGTATACATAAAATAAATAGCACATATTTACCATAGATTGCAGGTAATTGAACTTTTAATCATTCTTTAAGGTCAGATGACACGTTCCTCGAAAATATATAATTTTTCCCAAGAATTTGTCATTGAAGTATTGCTACTTAAACAAGTTTCCTCATCTAAAATTGAGGTACCTTACCAGGCATTTGGGCAGGATACCAGAGGGTGATACATGCATTTCTTATATAATCCTTGTGGGTAATCTTTTGAATTGCCAATGTCACAATTTTTGGTGTACTTATTTTAAAAATTTTTTAAAAACAATTCAGAAATCACAAGAGAATGACAATTATGAATAATTTCTTATATAATACCAAGGTATACAAAACATATATTTGAGGAACGTGTCATCTGACCTTAAAAGTAATTTTATAACTTCAATTAATTTGTTGTCCTTCTTCACTATATATAAATGCACAAATTTATCTATTTGGTGATCAAGGTTTTCCAGAGACCTTTCTGAATTTTGGAAGGGAGATGAAATAATCTCAAACCAAAAGCATTTCATAGGTGACTACCTGTTCAACTGGATCTAGAATAAATGACTTAAGTTCAAATAATACCACATGTGTACAACTTACATCTATTTCCCAGCTTGTCAATCAAAAACCCAGCACCAATAACTACAATGGCATTTCTGTAATAAAATACCTATTTTTATGAATATGAAAATAAATAAGCATATTTACTGCTAAAACAAATGGACTTTTGTAAATCAAGTTCACTTAATTCATTGTTTCAAAATATAAGGATATTTCTAGTTAATTTTTTAAATGGTTAGTGTAAACTGAAAATCAATCCTGTCCGAAGGTTAAAATACATGCTACATTTTTTCCCCTGAATCAGTACAGTGAAGCCTTGTTAATCCAAATGTCAATAATCTTGACACTTCACCTTTCCAATAAAATTTGTGGGAAACAGAATTAACATTCATCTCTATGAATTATAAAAAGTCCATTTCCTCAACTTCATTACACTTCATTAATCTGGACGATTTGTATGGTAACACACGTGTCTAGATAAACGAGAGGTTAAAATAATTTAAATTTACATATTTTTTAAATGAATTTTTAACATCTCAAATTTTAAATATTAACTGACATTATTTTTCATAAGTATATACAGTATATTTGAAAGTAAATTCTGTATTTAATATTTTCCTGAAAATAATCAGTAATCATTTTGAAGGAAAACATGTATATTGCAAATTCGCTAAATATACGTTAAAGAATTAGTAATACTAATATAACAAATTAGTAAAAATGCAGGTCCCATGGACTTCGTTATAACCGAGTTTTACTGTTAGTATATAACAAAGTCTCATACCATTTACTAAATGATTCATTTATAAACTGTTCTGCCTTTGAAATGTAGAAATGACTTACGTCCAAGCATAAATGGCATACAACAAGTTGTAGTCATCATCAGACATTCCCAGACAATCCTCACAGATACAAGTTTCGTGGCTTGTATTTCCTATAGTATAGTTGGTACAATTCTAAAAAGAACCCAAGAATACAGATATAGTCATGATGATTTTTTTTTTCAATATTACATAGTCTAAGAGCATTTCCTTTTATTAATAGTGATTGCTGATGATACTGACTTAAGATGCAATAATCGTGATTTATTTTGCTTGAGAGATCCTAAATGCAATAAGCATACATTACTTTTTTCTATGAAAGGAGACACATAGTTACTGAGGTTATTTAAAATTATGTTGTTCCAAAAAATTGATGTGGAACAAATTTTCATTTCTCTAATCATGTGCAAGATGTAAGGCTGTATTATTGTTTCGTTTACCTCACTTCTGGTGAAATCATCCTGCAAAACACTAGGCATGTCAAAACAGAAATAACTCCCAAATGTAAGCATACAGTTGAAAAATAGGATTAAAAATCTGTAATAGCCTGAAAAAAAAAAATTACATTTTATTCATGATTGTTTATCTTTATTCTTATCAAAAACAAGTTTTTGTTCTCACCAATATCACTTAAAAGAAAATATCACTCTACATTTCCATGCAAGCCGAGAACCTTGAAGGAAGCAGAATTGTGCTAATTTCCCATCATTTACAAAGGTGCTATATTCCTGCAGGGACGTACGTAGCATCATTTTCAAAGTGAGGACCAACACCCTCCCTAATAAAATACTAAATGTGAAAAATGTAATTTGGGAAGGTGGTGTTAAAAGTGTCCCCCTCCCTCCCCACTACCTGCCTGTCCTGTGTTTTATGCAAGAAAATGTAAGAGTATGCATATTTTATGTACTATAACTCATAATTACATTAAAAACATTATTTATTTTGTTCCGAAATCTTATGTTAATAGATAAATCCACTCGTATCTAGACACAAGGGAGGTTACGAGTTGACTTTGTTGTTTGGTTATAATTTATATGTGTTGGGTTTGAATTGACTTGGTTATGAGTGGGTCAGGTTATGAGTTGACTTGATACCAGATGAGCCTTTGTTGGTTTCTACCAATAAAAGCAAAGATGTCCAGTATAAAGGTAGTCAGGCAAGATCATCTGCTGAGTCAGTTCTTCAAAACGACTGTCTTAGAGTTTCCAAAAGCCCAGTTCTAAAAGTCGATTTGGTCGGTTCTTTTCCTCTTATATCATACACAGTACAGTACCTCAGTTTCTATTCTCTTTAGAGAAGTGGACAGGCTTTCGCCTACATCCGATGTAGGCGAAAGCTTGTCCACTTCTCTTAAGAGACTCAGAATACCTCAGTTTCAACTAGTAACCGTGCTAGTTTTCTATTATAAATAACTTACCCCTCGAGGGATCCATATTACATGGGCCTTCCATCTTTCGTTCTGTTCAGATATCAGAACCAAACCAAAATTAGTGGAGGTTAGTCTCAGCTAACAGTATCACGAGTAATGAAACCTCTTTTCCTTTAGCAAGTTCAGGTCGATGAACTTCGAACCAAAACATACATTCACATCGTTTTGATTCACTCGCCAAAGATGGACAGGCTTTAAGCTTATTTTCTGCTTCTTTTCAATAACCAATGTGTTCTTATTAACTATATTGCCAAAATATAATGAAACATTATACGTTTTTTTTTCAACATTTCAAAATTTCTGAAATTTTCATTCCAATCAGCTGATACAGTGTTAACTCGTACGAAAACTACTTTTGGTTTATAATAAGTCAGCCACAGAAATATTCGGATGACAACTCATCTGGTGCCTGGCCTCGTAGCTCGTACCTATAATGTTTACACAATGAGTTACTTTTATTGGAATTGAACAAGACCCTTTGTGCCACCCGGATTCAGTAATAGTCTCTTCTACTGTATTATAAAAGTTTTTACATCAATTTATATGTTTTAATTGAAAAAAAACTTTTTTCACAATCATTGATAGAAATTGCTACATATGATAGACTTTTTCTTTATAAGGATATATATGATGCATATTTTTTCCTTTTCAGAAAAGTAATTTACTTTACACAATATTTATTCAGAAAACTGAATGAATTGGCTAACAGCCAATGCTTATAAATACCCTCTCCATACAAAAAGTCAAAGTATGTACCATGTGTACATGCATATTTAAAGATCTGAATGAAATGTATAGATTACAATACGGGTAAAGAAACACGCGCGCGCACAGAGAGAGAGAGAGAGAGAGAGAGAGAGAGGCATAATTGTATAAATAACATATTCAGAGGAATATCTATCATATATTGACACGCGACGTTGAAGTTGATCTGATATATTGTTGTACACAATTTGTGATGTTTTACTGTATTTGAAACGAAATATCCAAACTCCCATGTTAAAAAAATTCTGATGAGGTAAAATAAATCTATGCACAAAAAGTTAATTAGGATTGTCGTAAAGAATAAACGTTTATTGTGATGTATATATTATAATTTACGTTAATATGTTAATTTGATGTTACATAGGGTTTTAGTAATTAAAGAGGGGGAAAATTGAAATCTCAGAAACAGAGAAAGTTATGGAAATTGTACTGATAGATGCTCCACTCTAAATTAATAGGAGATAAAAAAAAAGTGTTGTACCCCTTTACTATAAAAATTAATTTTATTGATTTTTAAGTATATAGGGGCACATCATTCAGGCATGTAGGAAGCAATTTCAGTTTGTTTGTTTGTTTGTTTGTTTTTTTTAGGGGGGGGGGGTTCACAACCAAACATTTTCAGTTTGGATGGGCACTACCAAGCAAAAATTCCTTAACAAGCAAAATAAAAAAAGGAGGTCCAAAGGTCATCAGACGTAATTATTGAGGGAGAACATCAATAAAGTAGCCTTGTTTTCTATAGTATACTATATATCAGCAAAATTATTGGTTGGGGGAGCGCCCCCCCCCCCATCCATCCCTTTGGTTCCTATGACTATCATAATTATTTACTGTTTAAGATGGGGAGCTTTTAATTAAATCATGCTGCCTAAGGCAGGGTAGGTTCTATTTAACTGAGGACTGGAGGGGAGGGGCATGCAAATCTTAATTTTATAAAATATACCATATCTTCGTATTATGACGATATTGAAACCACCTGGTAGACTCAAACAAAAACAACAAGAAGATATACTAGAAGCTAACGAAAGATTTATTGATAATCATCCAAAGACATGCATACCTACATTACAAAATACTAGCGACAATAGTGTAGAATGTTTAGTCTTACCTGATCGCTCAATCTTTTCTTTCACCCTTATTCCTTTTCTTTTTCCACACTCTCCCTTCCTCTCTCAATTCTCTGTTTCCTTTTCCCCCCACTCTCACCCTTTCTCTCTACCCACTCTCACTCTTTCCCTCTCTCACTCTTCTCTCCCCCACTCTCTCTCCCTTCTTTCTGACTCTTCTCTCTACCCATTATCACTCTCCTCCACTTTCACTCTTCTCTCTCCCCACTCTCAACCTTCTCACTCAACACTCTCTCCCCCATTCCCACTCTTCTCTCTCCCCATTCTCAGCCTTTTCTCTCCCCTCTCTCGCCATTCTCTCCCCTCTCTCACTTCTTCTCTCTCCCCACTCTCACTCCTTCTCTCTCCCCACTCTCACTCCTTCTCTCTCCCCACTCTCACTCCTCTCTCCCCACTCTCACTCCTTCTCTCTCCCCACTCTCACTCACCCTTCTCTCACTCTTCTCTCTCCCCACTCTCGCCCTTCTCTCTCCCCACTCTCACTCCTTCTCTCTCCCCACTCCCACTCACCCTTCTCTCACTCTTCTCTCTCCCCACTCTCGCCCTTCTCTCTCCCCACTCTCACTCCGAAAGGGGGAGGGGGGCTTTTGTGTTGTTTTTAAAATTGACTGCTTAAACACACTCCTTGTCCCCCTAAAAAATATATATATATATATGAAATATTATTTATTAAAACATGATGGTGACGTTAACCTTTTGTTTGTGTTGTCCATTCTATAGCTTAATGTTGAGCTAACTCCTCAAATAATCCATTAAGTTACCTGTAAGTGTCCATTCTTTTTGGAAAACTGTCCATTCTTTTAAGAATGGACAGTTTTTTTTTCAAAAAGAATGGACAGTTAAAACAAACAGAATGGAGAGTTACAGGTAAACTTTGGAATGTGTTTTAGAGGGAAACAAAAACAAATACATTAAATACTTTTTAATTTACATGTAAATAACAAAAAGAACGCGGAGATCAAAGTTAATCCAGAACACAATGTCTGCACAGCATCCACTCGATTTTACTCTTTTAAATCCATGAATAATGCACATAATTTCAATACTCAAAACTTAATTTTCACAAAACTCAATTCAAATGACACAATTTCACATTTGATTAAAATTTCAGAAAAATATTCCCTCGAGGAGAATTCATTTTCAGATAGAAGTATGTACACTGCATGTACGTCTAATATTAAATCCTCCACCAAGAAAACAGTTTGCACCATGAACACTTCACTGCCGCAGTTAATATTTCGGTAGAAAATAAATAAAAATGAAACATTTCCAGATTTGATTTGAAAAACATTTTCAGGTTGAAGATTGGCTTACGGCTAATCCAACACTCAGAATACAATTTGCATCTCACCATTACACTGCTGCAGTTAATATATCCTCAAAAATAGAATTCATATAAAACATTTCCAGGTTTGATTCGAATTTGATCACCTGTATCTGTCGTCGAAGTTCATTTTTGGGTCAAAATTTTGCTGATATTTCTTTTACTCTTACTTTTTTTTGTTTCCAGATCCGAATATCACTAATTTTGTGCATATTTTGGTTTATTAGAATTTGATTCTGTCGTATACTCTCTCCATCAGAGGAAAACATGTATGCCTTCACAACACAAACTGTAAACTGATTTTGAAGCATCGCATACTTGTATAAATACTAGTATCCCAAAAATCCACCTGTATCTTTCCATTCTTAAGACAAAAACCTTTTGTTATTTGCATCTGGAAACACAATGGCTATTCAACAAATTGCTCTGCATCCCTAGCTTACCCATGCTGTCCATTCCGTAAACAATGAACTTGTCATTGTATCTGTCATTGTAACCTGTCATTCTACCTGTCATATCTGATATCAGTCTTGAACATTTTTTATTTAATTTTCAGAACAAAGGAAACCATGTTTTAAGTAGGAGAAAGGCCTCAAACTCTCCATTCTGTGAGAGAAAGAACTTATCTCGGACCTACAACCCAATTACTTTTGCTGATTTTTTTTAAATTGAAAGACTGATATACATGTGTAAATATATGCAAAACATCCCGAGGAAAATTGGAGTGTCGAGTGAAGTTTTTTGATTGCAAACTAATTGATTTTGCTTTTAAATAACAATATAACCGTCCTACAATACATTGCATTGCAATGCTTGATGTACTGTCTAATTAAAAATTTTTATTATTAGGCAAAACAGTGAATAAAAATATAAACATTCCTGTTTGACTGATGACTGAATATTTTGAGACTCAAACAAAGCGCCGATGACTTTGTAGAACAATCAAAGACGCTTTTCAATACTGCTTAGCAGTACTTGTTTAGTGAGATAAGCTCATACTAAGTCCTTTACACGCGACATTACCGTTATTTACTCTGACTTTAACACATGGTCATTTGTGAATGTCTCTCTAACGTCTTATATATAGTATACAAGCCTGTTACTCGTTAGCATTGCTTAAATATTTACATAATATAAAGCAGAAATCAATGATCGTTTTGTCTACGTTGTTCAAAGGGACATAATTTGAGTTATGGAACTTTGAAACAAAACTTACATTATGCAAATTTCCAAATAAACATTCAATCACAAGGACAAATTGTATATAAAGGCTGTCTTTGGAGGGTGCATGGTGGGGAATATTTCTAATACATTGACAAGTAAAATAAGTGTGCTTGTTAAAATAGAAGTAGAATTACACCACACTGCACTCTGCTGCAATACAATGCGATACATTGTGATGCCTGCCAAATTGTCCAATCAAAATTAACTTAGTCCATTTTTTTTTCTTAATTGAATTTAAAAACTGATTGAATACACACACTTTTTTTCATTTTATGCTTTGAAAAAAAAGTTTCAAAAACAGACTAGAGAGCATTTCTTTTATTCTCATATTCTTAAATATTTGTTTTCTTTGATATGAATCAAAATTAACAATCAGTAATTATGTTGAAGGACTTTCGCAAAGTTACGTGTTGCTGTTTTTTTTTTTTTTTTATCGAATGACTAGTTTGGGTATGCACAAAAGATCCAAAAGAAATGAACACTCCTTTTTGACTGATGAGTAGATTTTTTTGTTTGCATGAGAATTTATACTGTTTACCATAATAAGAATTTAACTGCATTTTATCTAATACATTGACAAGTAAAATAAGTGTGCTTGTTTAAATACAAGTAGAATTGCACCATACTGCACTCTGCTGCAATACAATGCGATACATTGTGATGCCTGCCAAATTGTCCAATCAAAATTAACTTAGTCCATTTTTTTTCTTAATTGAATTTAAAAACTGATTGAATACACACACTTTTTTTTTCATTTTATGCTTTGAAAAAAAAAGTTTCAAAAACAGACTAGAGAGCATTTCTTTTATTCTCATATTCTTAAATATTTGTTTTCTTTGATATGAATCAAAATTAA